GGGTTTAGGGTTTAGGGGTTCCTGCAAGGCCTGGAAAAGGCTTACTACAACAGGTAGCACTGGCAACAATCCCAGCAAAGAACTGACTACTGCGAAAGAGCGATCTTCCCGTCTCGGCCTTTCCTGTCCCCCTGTTCGATGGCCCCAAAGTACCATAAAGGACCGAAGCAAGCAGCGAAGAAGATAGGGTGAGAGCCGGAATACCAGCCTAATTTACTCGCAAAAGTTGCTAGTACTCCGGGTCTCCAGCTATCAACCGTGAGAAAGCTCCAAGCCAAGCTGACAATCGCCATTGCAATAATTGCTAGTGCTAGCAGCATCACCGATGTTGATACTCTTGTTACTGGCATTAGTGTTCACATGTGTTCACTGTTCAGGCTCCTTATCGTACACCCTAAGCCCTAAACCCTAACCCCAAAACCCAAAACCCTAAATCGTGCGTCCGAAGAAGGTGCCTTGCTGCACGACCTACTGGAACCCCGCAGCCGACAAGCTTTGGTGGCGGCGCTGGCGCAGGTCATGTTTTGCAGAGAGGGCGTGGAGCTCCAGGGGGCAGGGAATAGGGTTTGCTTTGCATCTGGTGAAGGGGGCCTCAGATTACGACTACTATGCTGCTCTTATATCGTCCTGATATTATCATCAACAGCGCCAGTCTCAAAATCATTACGCAGCATAGATCCCCAAACAGTGATGGACCATACGGCGAAGACCGAGAACCCAGGGCGCACCTACGGTCAGGACGACCCAGGACGACCAGGACGACCGCCACCAGGAGATCACAGGGACTCCACCAGGAGATCACAGGAGACCGCCAAGACAAAGCAAGGAGACCGCCAGGAGGTCGCCCGGAGACCCCGAGAAAGATCGCCCAGAGACATCGCGAGATGGCAAGGAGACCTCCCAGTCGTTGGTTTCAGGGCTTAGGGTAGAGTTCATAGTCACGACAAGACTCTAAGACTGCTTCGCCCCACGTACGTGCGTGATTCAGGACCACGGTCAAATCCCCCCATGTACTGGCGAATTCAGAGATAGCTAAAACTTTTTCAACGGGGCCAATTTATTGGAATTTTTTCTTCGAATCGCGCCATCCGGAGGACGTGGGCGTACAGATCGTGTGTGCCTAAAGCGGCGGTTGGCGGAACCATACGTGCGCACGTGAAGTCTCTTCACACTCAACGATAGAACTCCATAGCGTGTATCACGCTTCGGAAACTACCAGTGCCATCATACATCATGACGGTTGTGGTGGTGGTGGTGGTGGTGGTGGCGGTGGGGCCGTCGTCAGCGCTGATGTCGTCGTGACGAGGGAATAATTACTGGTAATCGTTGTACTGGCAGTGGTAGCCGTGGTCGTCGGTCGCTGTCGGTCGTCGTCGCCGTCGTTGTCGTCGGTCGGTAGGTCGGTCGGTCGTCGTCGGTGTCCGGTCGTCGGTGGTCGTTGTGGTGGTGATGTATTAGTCATCGTCGTGGTGGTGGTGGTGGGAGCAGTCAGCTGCAACCACTGGTCACTGGCATCGGCCCACCCAATTTCAAAACTCTCGCATTGCACATGTCGCAAGGTGCAAAGCTCTTCCCCTGCAGTGCGCCTTGTACGGCAATTGAACCCGATTGCTAGAGGTTGTCCGAGAATCCTTCGTCAAAGAAGGAAGACTGCACGTCACACATTTCAAGTGCTGCTCTTCCGTCGAAGCCGGACAGAATCAGGCCGCAGTGATCAATGTTCGGTGTGGTGTACCTGTCCTGACAAGCTCCAGGCTGTAGCTTGAAGCGATGTTGAACTTTGACGCTGCAAGTTCAAATCTTCGGCACACATGTCTTGGGTTGAAGATTCCCATCTTGCTTCTAGTCTGTGGCAACAGAAACCCTATGGGGGACTGTGATCTCGACCAGCCCCAACCACCAAATGCCAAGATCCCTTGAGGCCAACGCGGCTTGTATTTAAGGAGCGCTGTTTGTCTGCACGGATGGGGTTTGTGAGTTTGTGCACACGGCTGGAGCTGTGGGTAAGGGTTCAGGATTTGGACTCCAAGTGTGAAGGGTCCACTGAAACTTGACAGCTCTCGCTCCGGAGGATGGCAAAACCTTCAACTACTCTTTGCCTTCTTAGGTTTAGGGTTTTAGGCTTTTTAGGGTTCAGGGTTTTCGGTTTTCTAGGCTTGGGACAAGTCTCTCCCGTCACACCAGGAGGGCCCTGTGCTGTACGTGACGTTCTCTGGCATCAAGCAGGAGCCTGGTAGAATGTAATGTCATATAACGTAATGTAATATACTGTCATGTACTATGCTGTAATGAAACATACAAGATAATTGATGGTAATATGGTATAATAATTAAGGCACATTATGATATAGTATAGTCTACTATACTATGATATAGTTTAATGTAGTATAGTTTAGAGTTTTCGAATAGTATAATGTAACACAACATATTAGAATACAATAATGTAATGCAGCATAACACAATATAGTATACCACACTACAATATACGATCATATATGCGAATATAACATACTATATGATGTTATGATATAGGATAAGATATCTTTTATGATGTAGTATTAACTTAATACAACATATTACAAGACAATACAGTACCAAGTGATACGGTATGATACGGTACGATATAGTTCAGAATGATAAAATAGAATATGATTAGATGTGGAATATAGCAAGTTATAACAAAATAACATAAAATACAATGTAATGGATGTAATGGGATTGAAAGATTCGGTTGTCCTTCGTGACAGCCTTATCCGATTCGGTTTTGGAGTTTAGAGAAGGGTTTCGGTTAGTTCTGGTGAATGGGGTTTCCAGGTTTGTGCAGAAACTCGCCTGGTGGGTGGAGGGTTTAGTTCTGTTGTCGCAGCCTGGCCCCGGTGACCTTTCTGCGATGTCTTTATGCAGGCGAGAAGCTACTGTTGCTGTACTTGAAGTAAGGGTCAACCTTGTTTCCTTCGTTTTGTTACGATTGTTCTTGTTGTTATTTTTGGTGTTTGTAGCTTTGTTGTTTTGTTGTTGCTGCTGTTGCCGGCAAAGGACCAAGTCTCTGAAGACCACACTGAGCCCTCATCCATCATGAAACCGCCGGGCTCCAAAGCTGAACTCCGGAAGACCCTGAGCTCTACATCCGGCATTCCACGAGAAAGCTCGGTTTTAAAGGCCCTCCACGCCCTAGTGCACAGCCACAACCAAAAACTGGCAACCCAAAGACCTAGACCCAGAGCCCAAAACCCTAGGCCGAAAGGTTAAACCCTAAGCCGTAAAGGCCTAAAGCCCTAAACCCTTTTAACCCCTAAAAATTCCTCAAGCCCCAAACCCCTTAAACCCCCAAATCCCCAAAGTCCTAAAGCCCTAAACCCCTAAACTCTAAGCCTAAACCCCTAAACCCCTAAACCCCTAAACCCCTAAACCCCTAAACCCCTAAACCCCCTAAACCCCCGAACCCTAAACCCTAAACCCGTAAAAGCCCTAAACCCCTAAACCCTAAACCCTAAGCCCCAACAGGGGTGAGTCTCGTGCGAAAGGGATTACTGCACTTAAAAAAAGCCTAAACCCTAAAAACCCCTAAGCTTCTTCGGAGCCCAAAGGACCAGGACCTGACTCACGCAGTGGCTATCGGCCTGGAGGTCAGGAGCCTGGAGGCCCTTTTAACGGGTTTTAGGGCTTTAGAGTTTAGGGTTTAGGGTTTAGGGCTTTAGAGTTTAGGGTTTAGGGTTAAGGGGGCTTTGGGTTTAGGGCTTTAGGACTTGAGGCATAGGGCCCTTAGGGTTAAGGGCTGAGAGTTTAGGGTTTAGGGTTTTAGGATGTTTTAGGTTTACGGCTTCGGGCTGAGGGTTTGGGGTTCAAGGTCTTAAGTAAGCCTATTAGCTGTAATGAGATGCGGTTTGCTGCTGCGCTTGCTGAGTAGTAGCACGAAGAGCAAGATCGAGAATGCATCGTCGGCGTCGTCGTCATCATCGGCATCACGCCCTAAACCCTAAACCCTGAACCCTGAACCCTAAACCCTAAACCCTAAACCCTGCTAAACCCTAAGCCCACCCTCGCCTGGAAGATTTAAGCAGAAGGAGAAGAGGACATTTAGTCCCAACTAATGGGAAGTGCCCGTTCGAGGCGTGAGAGGGCTTGAGGGAGTTGACCGGATTGTTGTGGGCGTGTGTATATAAGTTGAGCGCTTAGGGTTGGGGAAAGCGGGGAAGAATCGCGGTTTAGGGCGGTTTACGGTTCAGGGTGCAGGGTTTAGTGCCTTTGCCAAAGATGTGGTGCACAACATCTGGAGCCGGAGTGGATGCTGCCCACGCCGTGGTTGCCGATTCGATCCTCGTCTTTTCGGCGCTCTGAAAAGCATTTGCCCCATCACGTATGCAGCGCTCGGCGTTTGGTCAAGCCCAGCCGCCAGACGAGAATCCAAGATCGAAGTGGAAGCTGGACAAACAGAACCTAAAGCCGAAATGCCAGACCCGAACCGGTGGCACCGCTACACGAAGCCCAGAAGCAATGTGGCACTGAATGTCGGCTCCAAGTAGCCATAAGAACAAAAGCCCGAACCGAAGTCTCATCCTGGAGCCCAATGCCCTCACAGCCCAGATGTGAAATGTCAACTCTCGAGCCCTAAGCCCTGAACACACAAATCCTATGCCCTAAAGCTCTAGGCTGCAAGGCTCTACACTCCTCGCGCCACAAAGCCCTACACCCTCCATCCTCGCCCGAACGCCACGCCGTCAGGACGAGCAGGCCCAGGAGACGTCGGCTGCTGGGCTTCCGATTCGTAGGAGAATTGCGGCGGTAGTAGTGTGATTCTTGCTAACATGATTCTTGGGACTGTTGCTAAAGCCAGTATCGTTCTTGTCGCTGTTTTGGTTATCGTTATTGCTATTTGTATGTTTGTGTTTCGGATTACTTTTATTATTGTTATGGGCAGTCTTATTGCTACTACTAGTGACTAACTAGTGTTACTGCTACTATTTTAAGTACTAGTAGCAGTTGTCGTCGTCGTCGTCGTCGTCGTCGTCGTCGTCGCCGTAGTAGCGGTCATGGCTTCAGATTCGCGTCGGCCGGCATTGATACAATCCGTATCTGTAGCAGCAGTTGGCTGTGGACATGGGGATGTGCCTCGTTCTCGAGTTAAGCCACCGACGCAGGTGAGATACTTGTGCCTCAGCACATGCGGCAAACTGGGAAACACTTAAAGAAGAGACTCCAATACCCCTTAATTAAGGAATATACCTTCAATTATCTTAAATTATAGTAGGATTCCTAATATGATTTAAGGTATATTCCTTAATTAAGGGGTATTGGAGTCTCTGGGCAAGCAGGCATAGGCGGGCCGCCCTTTGCATGGGCTGGCATCAACTTCTGCGCCAAACCTGCAGCGGTGATTCCCGACTCGACAAACATGCCACAAACAAAACTAACACCCAACCGCAGACCCCTGATCCTGAAAAAACACGTTCATTCAATTTCGCCCGAAGCCTTCTAAGCCAAAAGTGCTAAACCTTAAAACCGCAAAAAGCCCACAGCACTAAGGCTCTGAGGCCCTAAAGCCCCAAGGTGAACCCACGTCTGCGCATGACGCCCCTGCGAAGTGCGCAGACCCCGAAAACCCTAAACCCTAAACCCTAAGCCCTAAATCCTAAACTTGACTGAACCCTGAGGCTTGGACATACTGTCTCGAGCAGCACCTCCATGGGGTGCTTGGTGGAGTCCTCGGCGCTACCGAAACTATGGGGTCGCACGTTGGGTTAGGTGCCGCTTTTTTGGGCTTTAGCGGTCACCCTCGTTTTAAATTCCTCAAACCCTAAACCCTAAACCCCTAAACCCTAAACTCTGTAAGGTTACCATAAAGGTGTTGTCGATACGGAATCTATAGGGTCCCAGTAGGAGTTGAGGGCCTCCTTGCAGCTGAAAGCTGGCGCTGCAACGGCCCTTATCATGCCCTAGTATAGGGTTTAGAGTTTAGAGTTTAGGATTTAAAGTACAGGGGTACACATATACATATACACATATACATACATACACATATATATATATATATATACTGTTTAGGGCGTAAAGTTCAGGGCTAGGTACAGGGTTTAAGGTCTAGGGTGTAGGACTTATCGGGTTAGAGTTTAGGGTTTAGGAAAGCTAGCAGCTAGGATCGGAATCTCGTCGTTCCCTTTATCGTCATAAGGCCTGTATGTGTAGCAGATTATAGTCTCCCCATATCCCGCCAGCCATGGGTGCGATTGCCAAACTCCGCCGGCAAGCAAAATCAGACCATTTTCGCTACATCATGTAGCCTCGTCAGCTAGTGATTAATGAATCTACCACACCTCAAGCGCATCTCAGATTGAAAAATTGATACCGGATCAAGCCGTGTGACGGCATTGCGCGTCAACAACCCACAGCCAGCTCAAGGCCTCAAGCATGATGTTGAAACCGAACTGTCACGTCGTCTCTTCACCCTAAGCCGTAGATCTCGGCCCTATGCCCGGAGCCCTAAATCTAAACCTCGAAAGTAGAGTCTAAACCCTGAGCCCGAAACGAAGTATCCAAGGTCTGAGCAACCTTCTTTTGAGCCTGGTTGGGCTAAAGCCCCACAAGCTCCAGTGACCTGGCTTTGTGGGAACTTGAAAGGGTCAGGATGAAAAGGGTGATTCGTCATCAGAATTAAATGCTACTACGAAGTGCTACTCTGTCTACTCGTATCGGTTACTTGAACAGGTTTAGGGTTTAGGGCTTCGGGTTTAGGGTTTAGGGCTTTGGGTTTCGGGTTTAGGGTTTAGGGATACCGGTTCCCGAAGTGCGAGAGTTGCTCTGGGGTTTCGGTGTGAAGGACTGAGTTACTACAACGACGACTATTGCTACAACAACAACAACACCACCAACAACAACAACAAGTACTACTAGTACTA